AAAAAAAAAAAAAAAAAAAAAAAGTCAGTTCGTTTTGACTACGGTTTCAAAAAAAATGAAGCAATCTCATTAATAAATTGCAGGTAATGGTTTAAGAAATGCCCTTTCGACATCTTTGACATTATCAGATACGAACGCGTCAACCAGATAGTGTTGTTTGCTACTTTAGTTTACTTTTGTTTGACAATGACCAATCCAGGGGCCACGTAGTCTGCAAAATGCCATCGGCAGAATAAGCATTTCTCCTAATCTCTTTTTTGAAATCTTTTCCAGGAGTTATTTCCTCTTTCTAGTTATTTGATTGCGTCTTGTACAGTTTCAGGCTAAAATCGGCCGGCAAAAAAAAAAAATTCGGAAATTTGTTCCCACGGTATTGTCCAATTATTTGATGTGTGGGCAGATCGGTGGGCAAACTATCTTCAGGATGAGACGAAATTACTGCTGAGGACGTTAACGACTTTGCTGTGAATCTTTTTGTCTAGAATAGCTAATTAAATTTCTTAGAATGGTAAATACTAAATATAAATTAAGGCCATCTTGAGAGCGGATTTCCTCTTGAAGTTCTCAAAATGCCTACTTTTGATTAGCCATCTTCACAAATTAAGAAAACGAACTTCATTGTAAAATGTTAAAGCGGAAAGACGTAGAAAACCAATTTGATCATAATTATCAAAGGCAACATCAATTCAATATTGTTTTTCTACTCCTTAACATCAATATCAGAAGTTCAAATCGTGCCAATCTCTTAAAAAGAAACCAACGAAGCTAACAAATCATTACTTGAAAAAAGCCCACCACGAAGCGTGAACTTTTCATTATAATTTTACAAACGTACGTGCATGGTATACATATTTTATTGCTTGCATAGCGGACAGCTGTGAGTACACACTAACGTCGCTTCCTATTTTCGCTGAAGTGTCTCAATACTGAAACATATGCATAAGCACAATTTTGCCAAATTAGTTAATTTTCCGCTATGTTTAATCCTATACGGATAAAAGGCGTTAGGCGCCTAATATTTTGGTGCTTTAATAGAATCACCTGAAATATGTATCTTTTTTCTATCCTAAGGAACGTTTGAGCAAGTTATGTTGAGTAACAGTTCAAGAAGCTTAGAGAACAATGTCTCCTGCTTTCGCTTTCCTGTATTTCAAACGGACAACATCCCCGAGCTTACCGTCGTTTTTAACAGTACAGTAAACTTCCCACTGTCAGTGTTAACAATTGTAGGCAACACCTTGGTTTTGGTAGCCGTATGGAGAACACCTTCTCTTCGTTCGCCCTTCGTCATATTACTTTGTGGTCTCGCAACGACAGACCTTGCTGTGGGCCTCTTGGTTCAGCCGTTGTTTTTGTCTATGGAATTCACACTCCTCTCGAATTCACCGGCTTATAACTGTGTGTTAGGAAAGGCATTCATCACTGTTTCCTATACCGTCTGCGGAGTTTCCCTGGCGACTCTTACAACTATCACTATAGACAGACTACTAACGCTAAAATATCATATGAGGTACAGCAGTATCATGACCATACAGCAAGCATTTTGTGTCATCGCAGTGAACTGGTTGACAAGTGGTTTTCTGGCAAGTCTTATACTATGGACTTCAAAGATATTGTTTGTATTTGTTATGGCCTTAGTCGTGGCCATTTTTCTTTGCTTTTCAACATCTGCGCACATAAATATTTACTGTATAATCCGTCGCCACAAAAGGCAAATTCTCGCACAAACAGGAGCAGTTCAAGATAATTCGCGCACAAATATAACGCGTTTCAAGAGAACAGCATTCAATACATTCTTGGTCCACTACTTTCTTCTTATTTGCTACATCCCCCTATTCGTAACCCTGCTGTTGCAGGGAAACGAAGAGAGAATACCTTCAGAATCTTGGAGAGAGAATGGCAGTGGCATAGCATGGAAATTGTCAAGCACGGTGGTCTTCATGAATTCTGCATTGAATCCTTTTATCTACTGTTGGCGTCTTCGAGAGATTCGCACAGCCGTGAAAAAGTCTCTTTTCTGCAGAAAATGACTGTAAAGTATTACTGTCATCCTAGTCAGTATAAATTTATTTTAGATAACTAATAAAAAAAATAGTCAGTACTTAAAAATGGACCTAGGAGATGATTAATGCTCATAGGAAGCTTGAATTTTAGTGGTGACAGAAGGTCTTAACGCTACACATTAAAGAAAAGAAACCCTGAAATATTAATGAAAATACTGATGAAGTCGTGACACGAGAAACAATTCACATACATAACATCCTCTAACGAAAGCCTTCCTTCTGTGTAATATGATAAATTATGTTGTTGCATTCTCTTATATATCTAATATATATCAACCTTTCTAGCTATAAAGTTGATATACCAAAATAACTCCTCGAATCATATTGATATACAAAGCTATCAGAGTTAAAGCGGAAATGAATGTGCTACAGAAGAACAATAAATAAACAGAACTATAAAAAAAACCGTAATGGTACGATTTAACGCCCGGGTTCAGGAGAGGTGCAAATTAGAAAATGGTCCCTTTTCGTATTACCACGTAAAGTGAACAGCACCCAATATCAAGTTGTTGTTGGAAACGTGGCTGGGAAGAAGAAGAAGAAGAAGAAGAAGAAGAAGAAGAAGAAGAAGAAGAAGAAGAAGAAGAAGAAGAAGAAGAAGAAGAAGAAGAAGAACAGTAAAAAAAAAAAAAAGAGTTATCTCAAAAAGATTTTTGCAAGTAATTTGCTAAAAATCTCTCGTCGTCCAACAGTTGTTTGCTAACAGAACCCTTGGCAGCTTGGAGTGGTGGGCTATAGCGTGACCTCAGTACCCTCGTATTTGTCATGTGCCTGATGTCTCTGTATGGGGCGTACAATATTGGAAAGCAGGAGTGACAATTACCGTAGAAAATCATATTTTGGTACTTGTATTAGGATCTGGTTATCCAGAACCCAATGTAATAATTATATACCGTATTATTATGTCGATCTCGATATTGTTAAACTACGAAAAAACCTTAAAATGTTCACATTACAGGAACACAAAAATTAAAGAAGTGATAGGTATGAAAAAATTAAACTTTGCTGTTACGTGCATGAAACGTAACCAAGTCATAGATCTTATTATTAATTACCGTTTTTTGTTTCCCCATTTATTGAATAAAACTGGTACCAAAAGACAGGCTAAGCCTAAAAGCATCCCCCCTGCTAGCATAAAATTACCCCCTGAATAATTAGCTAAATTGGCCAAACAAATTAAAAAATAAATTACTATATTAACTAAATAATATTACTGTCTATATACCGGTATACTATCTATACTATCTACCTATCTATTGAGCTCAAATACTAACTACTTAATTCAACTTTTTATTTTTCTTATTATGTTTATTTTTTCGTGCCTCACGTTTTTTCTCAAAATATTCCCGTTGTTCTTTTGTTAATGGTTTTATACCAAGGAACTCATTAAAAAATTTATTGTAACTATATTTTTTGCCTTCAATTATTCCCTTACGTGTTATTCTATCATTTTCTCTTGTTATCGCTATTGCTATATATTTATTATATTCGACCTCTTTTACTATATGTTCTGCATTAAACGCTTCGTTGAAATATTTAGCAAATTTAGGATGCTCTTTTAAATCATATATTGGATAAACATATTCTAACTTAGCCTCTGGCTCAATTATTTCATTATTTTCTGGCTTAGCCTCAGGCTCATCAATAAACATAAATTTGGTATAATATGGCTTAGCCTTGGGCTCATTATAAGTAGTCATTATTTTAATTTTCATTAGCATCTTAATAGCATTCATATGCTGCTCGATCATTGAATCAATATGGTCATTATATATCTCTACTGCACTAGGCATACTAGTATAAGGCGATATCCCTTTATAAGTGTTTCGTTTTTGCCAAATAATTAGTGAAAATAGGGGTGAAGTGTTGCTGCGGCCTGTTTTGTGGGGTAAAAAGTGGTCATGAGAGGCCTTTTGTAAGGGGTCAGGGAGAAACGGCACCTTTTTGCGCTTACATTAGCAAATATAATTAAGAAAAGCAAATTGTGTGATCGCAAAGAGCGATTGCTTGCCAATCTGCACTATTGAAAGAACTGAAGCAAACCTTAAGCGAGGTATATAACTTTGGATGATTAAAACACAAAAGGTAAAAAGGTGAAAAAGAAATTATTAGGGATGCAAAATTTTTAGAACGTTTTTTTTTTTTTTTTTTTCAAATCCTATTAGCAGACTAGAGGATTTCAACAGATTATTGCTAGATTTCGAGAAAATATAAGTCCCAATTTAAAGATTTCATGTCATCGTTATTCTGTTGCTATGGAACCGGCGATATCAACAAAACATACTCTAAAATTAAGTTCAGTGTTAGATATGTTGTTTCACTTTGTGGCTTTTTTTTCACTTTGTGCTAAGCTGCTAGGTCTCGAAATTGACTCTGAACTCTCATTTACTTACCATGTAGAGAAACTTTGTAAAAAGTTGTCCCGATTGGATTGGATTGGCGTATTAAATGAAAAGATAAGATCTTGCCTGCCCACGAAACAAAGGCTATTGTATTATAATACTATGATAAGATCTGTATTGCATTATGTCAGTTTAATCTGGACTAGTTGTGATAAGGAGAATTTAAGCCGTGTTTTTAAGCTACAAAAGAGAGCAGCAAGGGTAATTTCCCACGCTAATAACCAGGCGTCTAGTGTTAAGCTTTTTAATAGTCTACAGTGGCTTCCCTTTTATGAAAAAGTGAAAATAGCTAAATGTTGTGTGGCATACAAACGCATCAAGGGTGAAGTTCCCTTATACATTGAAGACTTTTTAAGACTCAACAGTCGGCAACATAGGCGTGTAACCAGATGTAGTAATATAATTTTATTTGCCCAAAATTTAATCGGAAGAAGGAAGGAAGAAGTAATCAACTTCATCATTAATGACAGTTACTTCTACTCCGTGACAGTTTTCTGAAGTCATTTGGGCTCCATTTGCTGGATATTTAAAACATTTTAATATTTTATGTAATTAAGGAAGAAGACCTAATAGATAAATGTGGATTTAAAAGAGTTTGTAAATAGCTTATGAAACGGAACATCATAAAGGTAACGTTAGAAGCAGTCATATTCTTTACAGTGTATATTTTTTAAAATTAAAATACGGCATTTCATTCATCAAACACTAAACCATCTGTCGCTACGTGCGAAGGCGTTCACCACCCTACGCAGTTAACTACAAAATGGAAAAACAAGGAATTTTATTGACATGAATAATGTAACTGATGCTTCCTATAATTTCATGGTGGGTTTGGATCGATGACAGTTCAAAGTGATTTTGTTTTGGCTAGGTAGTCTAAAATTGCTTTTAGAGAGACATTTGAACTTGTTGATCGATCATTTTATAACTGTATCAATTCTCATTTTATTCTAGGTTAGAAATGAATTATCAATTATTATCAATATTATTGTGGCCAACAGCAATGAAAGACACACCCTGCGTAATATAATTTTTTTTTTTAACATAAATTTCATTTTGTCGATTCATGATCATTTCTGTATTTGAAATTCCTGGATGTTTTCGTATTACTATCATCAATTGAATTGCATATATGTGTTTTGTAAATTTAATGCAAAGAAAATGACTAAAATGGGGAACAGGGAACGGGTAACGAGCACTGGGAACGGGCAAATAAAAAATGGGAACAAAACTGGACAACAGCTAATTTCAAACTTAGAGCTCTCAGTAACCTCATTTGCAATCCTCTGTTTTGTTCGCATTTGTCATTTTTCCGTTCCAGTGATCGTTACCCGTTGCCCGTTTCCAGTTTTTACAACATCAAAACCTAATGAGAGAATCGCCACTGGGAAGTTACTTCATTGTGACGATGTTTGCCAAAACGAGAAATTGATATGAGAAATTGAAACTTGTTCATTAGAATGGTCCCTTACTGCTGTCCCTCAAGACGCTTTTTACTAATTTAAGGTGCCTCAAAAGACGAATTGAAGAAGATTTATTTCTTACTTCTTCTAACTGAAATTTGTTTGGCAAACGCTCCACTCTGACTAATATGAAGATTTGGGCCTAAGATTTTTTTTAGGGATTTTCAGGATGCAAAGAAAGTCAATTTTACAGCTCTCAGCTTACTAGCCCGAAAGTTATTTTTAATAGCCCCAAACTAATTTTTTCGCGAGCAGAATGAAAAAATATTAATTCATTATTCCTTTCTTAATTACACTGTAAGTTAATAAATTACTGGCTTTATTTAATCATTTCAATCAGCTGTAGTTATTTGACAAGAACAATAAATAACCGTAAAAAGTGTGAACTATAAGTAGACCTGGTAAGATACCCTTCACACTCTAGTACAATAATTCAGTGTTGACCTTTTGATTATAAATGCCTTTGTCTTGAAAGTCAACTCAAAAGGTAACAGAATGAAGGTCCAAATAACAGACAAACATTTTTCTTTGAACACAATGCTAGAAACCTCATATTACTGGTTAACTTCTTGTGAAAATGTCTAAATACTCAAGCTTCTGTAACGCTTTGAGTTCAACGCAATAATCACTCCCGATGTGTTCAACTAGTTTTGCTGTCTTGCTCTCGGCGCTGCCACACTGTAGAATTTTTTCTAAGTCCACCGCAACGCGTGAATGATTAACATGCGTTTTAGACATTTTACGATTTAGAAAAAAAATTTTTAAGAACAAAAAACCGCGTTGAAACCGTGAAACCAAAGTTCTCAATGGACACACTAAACGACAACGTCCGCAGCGCGAAAAGCTGCAAGTGAAAGCGCGTCATTCTGCAATTTGCCGCCCACAAAAATTTAACGCGGGAGCATTTCTTAGCCGCTGACAGGGGAGATGTTTATATTTATTAAAGAGCATAAAAATTTGATAGCTTTGATCAGTCTGCTTCTCATTCAAAAGTAGCACATTCAGAAGATCATTTTTCGGTTTTCCAAGTCCAGTTTCAAGTTCACGGGAAAGTGGAAAGTGCGAGTGTCGAGTCACGCATCAGTGAGCAAATATCATGCAAACAAAAATTATGCAAATTTGTGGTTCATCTTGTTACAAGTAACCAAAGGTTTCAGGTTTCAAAAGAACAAAAATGCTCCTTCTATTTCTGGCAACATTTCATCTGAAAGATTTTCGTGAAAAGTGAAAACAATACGTTGTGGTCTATATATTTTAATCAACAAACACCTACAGTATCGGTGTTTAGAAATATATCGTATTGAAACGCACGTGACCAATATTTGCTAAAACCATAATAAATTTCTCACTAAAGTTCAGGATCAAAACCTTTTGTTTACGTTCCTCACAAATGATTATGAAGAAAATTTAGACAAATAGCGTTCTCTGAATCAGTAAGAATTAGATTAGTCACGGGCAACATTTACCTCCAAAGTTTTTTTCAACATCTGCTTTTACTATATGCGCGGGATCTCAATATTTCTCGTCTGACATGTGATGCAATACTTCGTCTTGTTTATGCAGATTTCACTTCGTCCGAGTGACTTTCGGTCTGCAGGTGTTTATTAGGAATTTAAAACATTTTGTCTTACAGTACTTCTGTAATTTTAATTCTCCGAAAAATCTTCACTTGCCCGTCGGGCAAGTTAAGAACAGAATTCACTTGCCCGATCGCAAAATCCACTAGCCCCGGGCTGTCGGACACGACTTTCTTTGCACGCTGGATTTTGGACACCTTTACTCTTGACGTCAATCTAGGACGATGTTGATTTGTTATTATTATTATAGCTGTCACAATTTAGGAAACTTCATGCGCCTTAGAAATTAAAAATTTTGGCGCCAGTGACATTAAGACATAGACATTTACCTGCTCTTGCGTTGTTTAAAAGTGCAAAAAGAGCAGAATAAAAAAGCTCCGAGAAGCTTTACCTGTGAAAAAGTTTTGAAAGATTTTGCTAAAGGCTTGATAAAAAGGAAACAAAAAATCGCGAAAGGAAGGGGACGTGAAATTCTGAATCGTGTTTCCAGCCAGGAACAACTTAAATTTCTTCCAATAAGGTAAGTTTTAACGGCCTTCCTGAATCTATAAGCTGTAGTGAACTATCGTCGAGCAATGAAAAACATTTAACTGTTACTGGAAATATTTTTTGTTCAATTTTTGGTCACTTCTGCGCACAGTTTGAAACGTTTAGGTTTGTTAGGGTTTTGAAATTATGATAATTTTCACTGACTCCAATGCGGAAGACGAGTTCGCTTTTTAACAGTTCAAACTTTATTTTTTCAGTGATCATACTTTGCAATGAAAACAATCTCTCTGAAGTCTTGAGTATTAGATTTTTTCATGGTACTTTATGGTTAAAAGAATTTCACGAGGTAAACGCTCTCAACTTCTGAAAGACCAAGCGATATACACTGAACTTTTAAATACTGCTGAGACAAGTGTACCAAGAAAGATACTTTCAAAACAAAAAAACATCACACAAAACAAAAAGAGAAAACGGGCTAGAAAACTGTTTTAAATGCAGCATACTTTTTATAGATATAATGATAAGTCTTCATTTTTCTGGCGATGAGGGCTATCGAATACGACATACTCAGTTAACTTTCTCTAAAGCATATTTTCACTAGAATGGGCACATGATGCTCTTTTATGTCCTTATATTTTCTGGGGAGGGTAGAATGTGAATCCCCGGTCTCAATCGTCGAATGTTTTGAGCCCAGACAAACCTCTTGTTGATAACTTTATTTCTTTACGAACAGTTTACTTTGTCCCCGAGGATGACAAAATTCATACCACCCCAACCACTGAAATACGGACGCTTCTGTTAATGCAAATTAAACTATGCCCTTCCAACACCTTTTACTTATGACGTCCATCTAGCGCATTGCTATTTTTTGTTTTAATTTAAACCGTGATCATACAGGAGAATCTTTACGTATTCGAAATTAAAAAATTTTCTGTCAGAGCGCAATAGATATTAAATTGCCCTTGTGTTATCAAAAACTCCCCCAAAAAAAAGAGCAGAAAAAAAATATAATATTAAAAAAGCTCTGAAAGTCCACATTTTGCCAATCGTTTTTGAAAGAGAAATTATTGTGAAAGAAAAGAAAGTAATTCTTAACCGAGTTTCTGCCCCTTACCTGGTTAGTAAACTTTTGCTGGTAAACTAATTAGAAAACTTGCTAATTTTAAGAGTGATGAAACATGTACGTCTGAAGGGAGCGAAGATTTAGCCCTACAGCGTGAGGCACAAACTTACCTGCCCCCAACCATAAACGTATCTAAAATTTTGAGACAGGCTTTGTGGAGTCTAAACTCGTTCAACGAATTATTCTCAAACTTGGCTACTATACTTTTATTTTTAAGGCTATTTTTAGCGGTGTCGACGGATTATCGCTAAAATAGGGATTGGGTCTATTGCCACTGTCCCTTTTTGTGTCAGTGATAAGGAGGTTTGACTATACAATATATATATATATATATATATATATATATATATATATATATATATATATATATATATATATATATATATATTATATACATACTGAGAAATACTCACCAAAAAGCTATGTCGTAAATTTTCGTACGCAAATTAGTTCTAGCCAATCAGAGGGGCGAACGATGGTTTTGACACGTGAAAAAAATGATACGTCCAATCAGAATCGCGAACGATGTTTTTCACCTGTGAGAAAAATGATACGTCCAATCAGAAGCCACAGAGGTGCGTGAGTTTCCCGCCAAAATTCCCGCCTTTTATTGCAGCTTGCAGCGCCGCTTCGCACACTCAACGAGAAAAGTTTTACTCAAAGAGTTTTTCTCGCTAAAAAAGTGAAAAACATTTCGGAAATGGAGTGGAATAGTTTCGTTTGTTTCACTGTCGATACAGAAAACGGTAGAGAGCCTGTGAAACAACAGCGGAAAGGGATAAACAGAACGAGACGTAAGCTTTTGTTGTGCTTTTTGTCAGAGCTACTATGCCTTTCATTCAAGCTTAAGCTATTGAAACCGGCCATTTTACTTAAATTCACTCATTTTCAATTGTGCATTGAGATCCAACAGTTAAGATTATTTATAGTTCTTGGATTACCTCATATCCTTACCGTCATTTATTTTTTTAACAAACGTTTTTACTAAAAAGCTGATACTTCGTTTTCGTTGTCATTTTGCGGTAAGTGTGTAGCGGCAAATTTTAGCATTTTTGGAAGATTTAAAATAAAAAGGCCGCCAAAATGATGAATGTCTCAGTATGTATATAATAAGCACAATACCACATGGAAAGTGCTTTGTACGGTATTTACGCACTCGTTGTTTTTGTATCAGAAATCTTACTCGTTCGCTGCGCTCACTCGTTCGATATCTGATACGTCAACAACTCGTGCGTAAATCCCGTACGCCAGCACTTTCCATGAAGTATTCTCTTTATATTGCTTAATTGCATAGCATAATTGTGTATGTACATCAATTACGAATTTGCGGTAATTAGCGACCCCTAAATTGCATGTTAAAAACATTTTGTGTACCCAGAACTTTGTAAAGATCACTGCAACTATATTGAATGGTTAGCCAAATCGTTTGTTAAGTCCATTTGGCCGCATGGAATTCAATTTCTTTTGCCAGAATATCTCCCGGTGTCTCAGGAGATCTTTTTTCTGTTCATTGCTTATATTATCTTTCCTGATCTGTTCTATTATTGTAATGATCACGTTATTGTCGAAGTTGTGTGTTTGTTTATTATGTAGAAAGTGTTCCGTAAGTTCACAATTGCTGATTCCCTTTTTGATATGATTTCTGTGGTTGTTTAAGCGAAGATTGAACGCTGTTTCGTTCTTGCTTATGTACTGTAGATTGCAGATGTTACACTCAATAGTGTAAATAACCCAGGATGACTGGCAGTTAACAGAGTGAAATATTTTAAAGGTCTTATTGTTGTAACCGCTGGTAAACGTGGTGGTTTTGTTGATTCCTTTGCACCAGCTGCACTTTGGTTTTCCGCATGCTTCGCAACCTCTTGGTACAGGAGTGTTGTTAATTGTCTTGAATTTAGTAATCACGAGTCTGTCCCGGAGACTTATTGGCCGTCTGTAAGCCACTAATGGTGGTTTGTTGAATATGTGGGCCAGTCTTTCTTCGGATTGGAGGAATTTCTAGTTTCTTCTTGCAATCTCTGCAATAAAAGTGGCATGTGGGTTGAATGTAGTGACCAGGGGGATACGATCGGTAAATTCCCTTTCTCTGGTCTGTCCACATTCTTCTTGTGTCATTGTAAGGACTTTTTCCATTTCTCGTAAAACCTTGGTCCGTTGGTAGCCACATGCTACAAAGAAATCAGCGTATTCGGCTATCCGTTTCTTCAGTGTGTCAGTGGAAGAACATATTCTTCTCAATCTCAATGCTTTGCTGTACGGATACTTTGTTTGAGGTGTGGTGGATGTGCTGAAGTTCAGTGTAGTTATGGATGTGTGTCTGTAGGTTCCTGATAGACGTCTGTGCTGATGTTGCCTTGTCTATCCTTTAGGACTGTCGTATCCAGAAAGTTAACTGAATTAGTGGATATTTCGTGTGTGACTTTGATTGACGGTGCTGCGTTGTTCAGCTGGTCAATGAATTCCATTAAGGAATCTATGTCCCCTTTCCATATGAAGAAAATGTCATCTATGACCCCTACCCAGTTTATAACGTAGTTGGACCACTCTGTTTTGTATACAAAGTTTTCTTCGACATATATTAATATCAGTAAGCATATTGTCCAGTGGACACGAATTTGATCACATGTAACGAGGACCTTTATACCCGATTAAACTCAACACTCGGAAAAGTCAGGGGAGGGCTTTGATTTGATCTGTGAGGATCATATTTCGTACCGGGAACGAAGGTTGACCAATAAGATTATTGGGGGGTTCTTGCTATGTCAGGAGCTCCTGGCTATGTATAAAAGTGCAAAAGTAGAAACGATCCGTTGAGTTGTCCTTTTATCCTACGCAATTGAAACCTGCAGAATTCAAGAAACGTTTTTAGCAAACATCTTCAGGCAAGTTTCATTCAACCTCCCCCCCGCCCTTCTTTTTTGCAATCAGCTGTTTTTGTGAACATTTTTATTTGGATTTTCTTGACTTCTCCTCGAATTTATTCCGCTTTTTCTTTGCAAAACGGCCGGGTAAACACAACATTGTCGCAACGCATACTTATCTTCAGTCATTCCTTCATTCATCTACTAAATATTACAGTTTTTTTGCATATTATGGTCGCCAGTTTGTTGAAAATTTTTGTCTGAGTTCACCTTTGGTTTAAACGGCACTGAATACGAGGAAGAACGGTTGCGAAGACTACGACATATGATCGAATCATTTAAACCTGATATAGTAATTTTACAGCTAGGGACGAACAATGTGACTAAATCTTCCGCTTTGCAAACTAGGTCCGCAATCGAGGAACTAGCCCGCTTACTAAACGAATCGCACCATGTTAAAATAATATGCGTTTGTTAGACCATAACGGGGAAACGCCCTCGCTTTTAATAATCAAATCAATCTCTTAACTTATCAATATCCATATGAATTTAGCGACACTCCACAGAAGTAATGTTTCCCTCCTCTACGAATATAAACTGTTGATATTCCTTTCATTTGGAAAGGCCTATTACGAAGGCAAGTAGTATAGACGCTTAAACTCTGTCGGCTTCAGTTGCTCAAAGTATTTGCATAACTACATTGTATATCTCACCAACCTGTGTTATTTCGCCTGTTTTTGTTTGAAAATTTTCAATCAAACACGATTTAAAAAGGGAAATGCATTATTTAGCCTCTTGTGATAAAATACTCCGGAGACTTTTTTTTGAAGCTGTTCAAAACACTCACAGCACGCGCTCGAATATTAAATCAGTAAATCTGCTGTTCGTGTTTTGAACATTACATGCTGAAAAAACTTAATTTATAAATATTGCCAAAAAGAATGAATTTTTTTTCCAAAAAAAAAAGTCAGTTGGTTTCGACTACGGTTTCAAAAAAAATTAAGCAATCTCGTTAATAACTTGCAGGTAATGGTATAAGAAATCTCCTTTTGACATCTTTTACATTATCGGATACGAACGTGTCGATCAGACAGTGCTGTTTGCTACTTTAGCTTACTTTTGTTTGACAAAGACCAATACAGGGGCTACGTAGTCTGCAAAATGCCATCGACAGAATAAGCACGTCTCCTAATCTCTTTTTTCAAATCTTTTCCAGGAGTTATTTCCTTTTTCTAGTTATTTGATTGCGTCTTTTACAGTTTCAGCCTAAAATCGGCCGAAAAATAAAAATGTTCAACCTGGGCCAGAAAACAAACATTCTTAAAAAAAAGGAGTGTGTGCAAATTTCAGATCTATGCTTTGAATTCGGTTTCGCCTTTAACAGTTCAGTTAGCATGTCCTAAAAAGCCTGTGTCACCAAAATTTAATGCTGCTTGAAAACCCAAGGGAAACATATTTCAATCAGTTGAATCCTTTCATGACGGACTGGTGTCAGTATGCGGTACCAAGAGCCATAATGTCCTTAGTACTGCCTAACATAATCATGACTGTTAAAATGTTTCTGATGATAAGAGCGGGTAGGGAAGGCATAGACTTTAACTTGAAAATGAAAATGAAGAGCCATTAGAATTTCAAATTTGACACAGTTTTACTCGGAAGAAATCGTTTAAAAGCCATTGATTACACTTTGTTGCCCACACTTTGCACACACTTTGGCTTTTGAATAAGCTTTGTTCAAAGGCCTTATTGTGTATCATCATATGCGGAAATTTGCCAGAATTTGCTTCCACGGTATTGTCCAATTACTTGATGTGTAGGCAGATCGGTGGGCAGACCATCTTCAGGATGAGGCGAAATTACTGCTGAGGACGTTAACGACTTTGCAGTGAATCTTTTTGTCTAGAACAACTAATTAAATTTCTTAGAATGGTAACTACTAAATATAAATTAAGGCCATCTTGAGAGCGGATTTCGTCTTGAAGTTCTCAAAATGCCTACTTTTGATTAGCCATCTTCACAAATTAAGAAAAAGAACTTCATTGTAAAATGTTAAAGCGGAAAGACGTGGAAAACCAATTTAATAATATCAAAGGCAACATCAGTTTAATATTGTGTTTTCTACTACTATACATCAATATCAGAAGTTCAAATGGTGCTAATCTCTAAAAAAGAAACCAACAAAGCTAACAAATCATTACTTGAAAAAAACCCACCACGAAGCGTCAACTTTTCAGTAAAATGTTACACACCTACGTGCATGGTATACTTATTTTATTGCTTGCATAGCAGACAGCTGCTGTGAGTACACACTAACGTCGCTTCCTATTTTCGCAGAAGTGTCAATACTGAAACATATGCATAAGCACAATTTTGCCAAATTAGTTAATTTTCCGCTATGATTGGCGTTGGGAGCCTAATATTTTGGTGCTTTAATGGAATCATCTGAAATATGTATATTTTTCTATCCTAAGGAAATAAAGTTTGCGGAGAAAGTTATGTTGAGCAACAGTTCAAGAGGCTCAGAGAACAATGTCTCCTGCTTTCGTTTTCCTGTATTTCAAACGGACAACATCCCCGAGCTTATCATCGTTTTTAACAGTACAGTAAATTTCCCACTGTCAGTGTTAACAATTATAGGCAACACCTTGGTTTTGGTAGCCGTATGGAGAACACCTTCTCTTCGTTCGCCCTCCGTCATTTTACTTTGGGGTCTCGCAACAACAGACCTTGCTGTGGGCCTCTTGGTTCAGCCGTTGTTTTTGTCTATGGAACTCAAGCTCCTCTCGAATTCGTCGGCTTATAACTGTGTGTTAGGAAAGGCATTCATCACTGTTTCCTATACCGTCTGTGGAGTTTCGCTGGCGACTCTTACAACTATCACTATAGACAGACTACTAGCCCTGAAATATCATATGAGGTACAGCAGTATCATGACCATACACCGAGCATTTTGTGTCATCGCAGTGAACTGGTTGACAAGTGGTTTTCTGGCAAGTCTTATACTATGGACTTCAAAGTTATTGTTTCTTTTTGTCATGGCTTTAGTCGTAGCCATTTTTCTTTGCTTTTCAACATCCGCGCACGTAAATATTTACTGTATAATCAGTCGCCACAAACGACAAATTCTCGCACAAAAAAGAGCAGTTCAAGATAATTCGCGCATAAATATAACGCGTTTCAAGAGAACAGTATTCAATACATTCTTGGTCCACTACTTTCTTCTTATTTGCTACATCCCCCTATTCGTAACCTTGCTGTTGCAGGCAAACGAAGAGAGAATACCTTCAGAATCTTGGAGAGAGAATGGCACTGGTATAGCATGGAAATTGTCAAGCACGGTGGTCTTCATGAATTCTGCGTTGAATCCTTTATTTACTGTTGGCGTCTTCGAGATATTCGCACCGCCGTGAAAAAGTCTCTTTTCTGCAGAAAATGACTCTAAAGTAGAACTGTCATCCTAGTCAGTATAAATTTATTTTAGATAACTAATAAAAAAAATAGTCAGTATTTAAAAATGGACATAGGAGATGATTAATGCTCATAGGAAGCTTGAATTTTAGTGGTGACAGAAGGTCTTAACGCTACATATTAAAGAAAAGAAACCCTGAAATATTCATGAAAATACTGATGAAGTCGTGACACGAGAAACAATTCATGTACATAACATCCTCTAACGAAAGCCTTCCTTCTATGTAATATGATAAATTATGTTGTTGCATTCTCTTATATATCTAATATATATCAACCTTTCTAGCTATAAAGTTGTTATACCAAAATAACTCCTGGAATCATATTGATATACAAAGCTATAAGAGTTAAAGCGGAAATGAATGTGCTACAGAAGAACAATAAATAAACAGAACTATAAAAAACCGTAATGGTACGATTTAGCGCCCGGGTTTAGGAGAGGTGCAAATTAGAAAATCGTCCTTTTTTTCGTATTACCACGTAAAGTGAACAGCACCCAATATCAAGTTGTTGTTGGAAACGTGGCTGGGTTTGAAAAAAAGAAAAAGAAGAAGAAGAAATAGAAGAAGAAGAAGAAGAAAAACAGTAAAAAAAAAAAAAAGAGGTATCTCAAAAAGATTTTTGCAAGTGCTTTGCTAAAAATCTCTCGTCGTCCAACAGTTGTTTGGTAACAGAACCCTTAGCAGCTTGGAGTGGTGGGCTATAGCGTGACCTCAGTACCCTCGTATTTGTCATGTGCCTGATGTCTCTGTCTGGGGAATACAATATTGGAAAGCAGGAGTGACAATTACCGTAGAAAATCATATTTTGGTACTTTTATTAGGATCTGGTTATCCGGAACCCAATGCAATAATTATATACCGTATTATTATATTGATCTCGATATTGTTAAACTACGAAAAAACCTTAAAATGTTCACATCACAGGAACTCAAAAATTAAAGAAGTGATAGGTATGAAAAAATTAAACTTTGCTGTTACGGGCATGAAACGTAACCAAGTCATAGATCTTATTATTAATTACCGTTTTTTGTTTCCCCATTTATTGAATAAAACTGGTACCAAAAGACAGGCTAAGCCTAAAAGCATCCCCCCTGCTAGCATAAAATTACCCCCTGAATAATTAGCTAAATTGGCCAAACAAATTAAAAAATAAATTACTATATTAACTAAATAATATTACTGTCTATATACCGGTATACTATCTATACTATCTACCTATCTATTGAGCTCAAATACTAACTACTTAATTCAACTTTTTATTTTTCTTATTATGTTTATTTTTTCGTGCCTCACGTTTTTTCTCAAAATATTCCCGTTGTTCTTTTGTTAATGGTTTTATACCAAGGAACTCATTAAAAAATTTATTGTAACTATATTTTTTGCCTTCAATTATTCCCTTACGTGTTATTCTATCATTTTCTCTTGTTATCGCTATTGCTATATATTTATTATATTCGACCTCTTTTACTATATGTTCTGCATTAAACGCTTCGTTGAAATATTTAGCAAATTTAGGATGCTCTTTTAAATCATATATTGGATAAACATATTCTAACTTAGCCTCTGGCTCAATTATTTCATTATTTTCTGGCTTAGCCTCAGGCTCATCAATAAACATAAATTTGGTATAATATGGCTTAGCCTTGGGCTCATTATAAGTAGTCATTATTTTAATTTTCATTAGCATCTTAATAGCATTCATATGCTGCTCGATCATTGAATCAATATGGTCATTATATATCTCTACTGCACTAGGCATACTAGTATAAGGCGATATCCCTTTATAAGTGTTTCGTTTTTGCCAAATAATTAGTGAAAATAGGGGTGAAGTGTTGCTGCGGCCTGTTTTGTGGGGTAAAAAGTGGTCATGAGAGGCCTTTTGTAAGGGGTCAGGGAGAAACGGCACCTTTTTGCGCTTACATTAGCAAATATAATTAAGAAAAGCAAATTGTGTGATCGCAAAGAGCGATTGCTTGCCAATCTGCACTATTGAAAGAACTGAAGCAAACCTTAAGCGAGGTATATAACTTTGGATGATTAAAACACAAAAGGTAAAAAGGTGAAAAAGAAATTATTAGGGATGCAAAATTTTTAGAACGTTTTTTTTTTTTTTTTTTTCAAATCCTATTAGCAGACTAGAGGATTTCAACAGATTATTGCTAGATTTCGAGAAAATATAAGTCCCAATTTAAAGATTTCATGTCATCGTTATTCTGTTGCTATGGAACCGGCGATATCAACAAAACATACTCTAAAATTAAGTTCAGTGTTAGATATGTTGTTTCACTTTGTGGCTTTTTTTTCACTTTGTGCTAAGCTGCTAGGTCTCGAAATTGACTCTGAACTCTCATTTACTTACCATGTAGAGAAACTTTGTAAAAAGTTGTCCCGATTGGATTGGATTGGCGTATTAAATGAAAAGATAAGATCTTGCCTGCCCACGAAACAAAGGCTATTGTATTATAATACTATGATAAGATCTGTATTGCATTATGTCAGTTTAATCTGGACTAGTTGTGATAAGGAGAATTTAAGCCGTGTTTTTAAGCTACAAAAGAGAGCAGCAAGGGTAATTTCCCACGCTAATAACCAGGCGTCTAGTGTTAAGCTTTTTAATAGTCTACAGTGGCTTCCCTTTTATGAAAAAGTGAAAATAGCTAAATGTTGTGTGGCATACAAACGCATCAAGGGTGAAGTTCCCTTATACATTGAAGACTTTTTAAGACTCAACAGTCGGCAACATAGGCGTGTAACCAGATGTAGTAATATAATTTTATTTGCCCAAAATTTAATCGGAAGAAGGAAGGAAGAAGTAATCAACTTCATCATTAATGACAGTTACTTCTACTCCGTGACAGTTTTCTGAAGTCATTTGGGCTCCATTTGCTGGATATTTAAAACATTTTAATATTTTATGTAATTAAGGAAGAAGACCTAATAGATAAATGTGGATTTAAAAGAGTTTGTAAATAGCTTATGAAACGGAACATCATAAAGGTAACGTTAGAAGCAGTCATATTCTTTACAGTGTATATTTTTTAAAATTAAAATACGGCATTTCATTCATCAAACACTAAACCATCTGTCGCTACGTGCGAAGGCGTTCACCACCCTACGCAGTTAACTACAAAATGGAAAAACAAGGAATTTTATTGACATGAATAATGTAACTGATGCTTCCTATAATTTCATGGTGGGTTTGGATCGATGACAGTTCAAAGTGATTTTGTTTTGGCTAGGTAGTCTAAAATTGCTTTTAGAGAGACATTTGAACTTGTTGATCGATCATTTTATAACTGTATCAATTCTCATTTTATTCTAGGTTAGAAATGAATTATCAATTATTATCAATATTATTGTGGCCAACAGCAATGAAAGACACACCCTGCGTAATATAATTTTTTTTTTTAACATAAATTTCATTTTGTCGATTCATGATCATTTCTGTATTTGAAATTCCTGGATGTTTTCGTATTACTATCATCAATTGAATTGCATATATGTGTTTTGTAAATTTAATGCAAAGAAAATGACTAAAATGGGGAACAGGGAACGGGTAACGAGCACTGGGAACGGGCAAATAAAAAATGGGAACAAAACTGGACAACAGCTAATTTCAAACTTAGAGCTCTCAGTAACCTCATTTGCAATCCTCTGTTTTGTTCGCATTTGTCATTTTTCCGTTCCAGTGATCGTTACCCGTTGCCCGTTTCCAGTTTTTATAGCATCAAAACCTAATGAGAGAATCGCCACTGGAAAGTTACTTCATTGGGACGATGTTTGCCAAAACGAGAAATTGATATGAGAAATTGAAACTTGTTCATTAGAATGGTCCCTTACTGCTGTCCCTCAAGACGCTTTTTACTAATTTAAGGTGCCTCAAAAGAGGAATTGAAGAAGATTTATTTCTTATTTCTTCTAACTGAAATTTGTTTGGCAAACGCTATACTCTGACTAATATGAAGATTTGGGCCTAAGATTTTTTTAGGGATTTCAGGATGCAAAGAAAGTCAATTTTACAGCTTAGCTGTAACTAACATTTACTAGCCCGAAAGTTATTTTTACTAGCCCCAAACTAATTTTTTCGCGAGCAGAATGAAAAAATATTAATTCATTATTCCTTGCTTAATTACACTGTAAGTTAATAAATTACTGGCTTTATTTAATCATTTCAATCAGCTGTAGTTATTTGACAAGAACAATAAATAACCGTAAAAAGTGTGAACTATAAGTAGACCTGGTAAGATACCCTTCACACTCTAGTACAATAATTCAGTGTTGACCTTTTGATTATAAATGCCTTTGTCTTGAAAGTCAACTCAAAAGGTAACAGAATGAAGGTCCAAATAACAGACAAACATTTTTCTTTGAACACAATGCTAAAAACCTCATATTACTGGTTAACTTCTTGTGAAAATTTCCAAATACTCAAGCTTCTGTAACGCTTTGAGTTCAAGGCAATATTCACTCCCGATGCGTTCAACTAGTTTTGCTGTCTTGCTCTCGGCGCTGCAACACTGTAGAATTTTTTTAAGTCCACCGCAACGCGTGAATGATTAACATGCGTTTTAGACATTTTACGATTTAGAAAAAAATATTTTTAAGAACAAAAAACCGCGTTGAAACCGTGAAACCAAAGTTCTCAATGGACACACTAAACGACAACGTCCGCAGCGCGAAAAGCTGCCAGTGAAAGCGCGTCATTCTGCAATTTGCCGCCCAAAAAAATTTAACGCGGGAGCATTTCTTAGCCGCTGACAGGGGAGATGTTTATATTTATTAAAGGGCATAAAAATTTGATAGCTTTGATCAGTTTGCTTCTCATTCAAAAGTAGCACATTCAGAAGATCATTTTTCTGAAGAAGGTTTGTTTGGGATTCGGTTTTCCAAGTCCAGTTTCAAGTTCACGGGAAAGTGGAAAGTGCGAGTGCCGAATCACG